GTGTGGAATTCCATCTCGTTGGACAGTCGAGTATGGGGTTCAGATTTGATGGCACGCCAGCTGCTACACAAGCAGACTGAAACTTCCTCTTCAATATCTCACTTCTTTTTATTTTACTGGAAATACTGCGTAATTTTGTTATAGCTGTGCGTGAGTCAGCAATATTTGGCGCATATTCTTCATCTTCCACAGTTTCGTCTTCATTATCTTCATACTGCTGTTCTTGTCCCTTATTGTCAGTTTCACTGTGTAATGCTAAGGTCTTTAATAAATATTGTACATCAAGGTTCAAAATGTGAGCAAAGCACCGGAAATGTTGATTGTCTGAATCAAAGTGTGGCAGCTGTTTGTCCAATTCATACATAAATTGGTATTTGCAGTTGCGTTGTCAACCGTGATACCCTGTATTTCATCAATTATGTCATATTCCAATAAACATTCGTGGAAAATCGTTGCAATATCTTCCCCAGTATGTCGACCGCGTAATGGTATAAAATAAAGGACCACAGATCGATACTTCCATTCGTTGTCTATATGTATAATGAATAGTGACCCCGTAGTAACTACTACCAGCAATTGACGTCCATCCATCAATGGTAAATGACATTTTAGATGAAAATTGTTGTCGTTTCTTAAGATTCAATTGAAGCTCTTCAAACCGTTCTTTCACCTTCCTTCTAAGTGTGGACCTTTTAGGAAACACCATATTTGGGCAAATTGATCGAAAATATACTTGTGTAGCTTCGTCATCGAAAAATGAGAAGGGAAGATATTTTTTAACCATCCAATCAACTGTAGCTGTCGTGATGTTGTCACTGCTATTTTCAGACTAAAATAAAACAGTAAATCATGTGTCTCGCCGATTATAAAAACAAATAAAAATATGAGTGAATTATAAATACATATTTAACACTTATATATATATATATATATATATATATATATATATATATATATATATATATATATATATATATATATATAGCTACCACTCACTGACTGACTATAACGATATCTCAGGAACTATAAAACATACAGACTTGAAGTTTGTAATGTAGGTTCCTTTTATGGCATAGAGATCAGTTAAGAAACGGTTTTGAGAAAATCTATCCCTAAGGGAGTGAAATGGGAGTTGGAAATTTGTATGAAAGTCCTACGTTTTTGAAGTTAGAGACACGAAAATCGGCATTAAAGTTATAAGTTTTCAATAATAAAATCCTGAATAAGCTGTTTTACGAAATCCTAACCCTAAGGGACTGAAATTGAGGTAAAATGGTTACATGCAAGTCCTATATTTTTAAAGTATAGATATGAAGATCGACATTTACTTTATTAGTTTTAAATAATAAATACTTGCATAGTTAAGCTTTACCTATATAGCCTCTTTATACTTAGGTAAGACTTTTGCAGCGAGAAAATTTCAAAATCTCATAGGAAATCAGATATTGTACGCGGACGAAGTCGCATGCGGCCGCTAGTTACATAATATATGTGTTATGTAATTGTGTGATAAGTATATTTTTTCTTACCTGTCCACTTTTTCCGGTGGTTATTAAAAAAGCTTGTGATATCTCCACTTAATTTTGGTTTTTCAGGAAGAAATATTTGTGATTCCTTTTTGTGGAAAGATATTAGATGGTTCCTTAAGCCTGAAGTGTTTCTGTTTTTCATTTTTATTTCAACCTCAATCAATCAAAATTCAAATTCAAAAAAATCAATAATTTACAGAAAGCAATTTGGGATGCATGAATTATGTCGAAAAACTCATCTAATTTACTTTTAGGTCTTTTAGATCTATAACTCCAACTCTCACTACTTCGACTAGAACTATTCGACTCTTCGTCACTCATGTCAAATTGTAAACTTATCACTCCGAGAACAACAAGGATTAGAGTAAAAACAATTAATACATTAGACTCGAAGCAAAGCTCAATTGGGAATGACTGGAATTAAAATAAATACTACTATTTGTAAGTACACGCCGAAAGACCGACAAAGGAAAGTTCGGCATCCTTTGATAAAATTAATGATTCTTCAGAAGATTAATAAAGTAGATACGTTGCCAGATAGGTATAAAGTGTCTACGTAAAAATGAAATGTAAATATTTAAATAAAATTCTGTATATTATGTTCTTCTTGTGATTGAATTAATCTACGTTAATTAAATTAAATTTGTCTTCACTCGTTTTAAATTCAAAATTCAAATATGTTTTATTCAAGTAGGCATTAAAAATACACTTTTGAATAGTTATATAATCACTGTTTTCCCCAATTTTTTCTTTTACATGTCCAGGGGTTCTGATTCTACTGAGAAGAATCATGGAAGAAAGTAAGAAACTCAGTAGTTGCTCTTTTGAAATATTTTTACAATAGTTCTATAATTATGTAAAGCGATAAGTCAAACATAAAATGTCAAATGTATATGTAGATACCAAATCAGTTTAGAAATTTCTAGTTAGACCTGTGTAGTACGATAGGTCAGTTCCAAGCATTTTTGTCTGACTTAAATTGAAAAGGTGAAAGATCTAACATTTCTTTTGCTACCCAAGAACCCATTATATAATTTGTGTAACCGGAAAGCAGGTATTGTGATTTTATTTTTATTTCTACTATTAAAATTGTGCAAATCACTATTATTTACATCAATTCGATGCAATCAGTTTCTTTAAACGGTTCTCTAAGAGATACTCGAGCTCCTAAAAAGTACATAGATCTTATTTTACGCTTTTTATTTAATATGCACACTTTTTATATTATTCGATTAGCATTGTTCTATTCATAGCATGTTTACACGTTTCAAGTGTGTTAAAAGTGTCTACAATATTTATCAAATGGGTGACGACATATTCGAACACTTTTTGTTCAAAAACACACACTTCCAAAAATCGAGATTTGCAGTGAACTTATTGAATATATCTATTAGGTAATAATAATAATAGTAAGTAATTATTATAAACCCATATAGTTAATATTATAATAATTACTTACTAGAATAAATTATTATGGTATCTACCCATCCTTACCATTATCTAATTACAATATTCCTTGCGAGATCAGCATAATGTATTCGTGTCCATTCTGAGCACCCGGAAACTTATTTTATTCTTTGGAACATGCACTCTGTGGCGGCATTCAAACAGTGTCAAATGTAGTGCGTGCGGCGCGGCGGCGACGATTGAATGCGATATCAATAGAAGCCGCCGGCGCGTGTATCTTGACCTTGTACTTCCGAATAGCTGCAAAATTTCTTTGACAGGTCAGTATTCGACCTTTGATGATGCCAACAACAAGACGCCGCGCACTATCAAAGTGCCGATGGTCAAAACTAGGGATGTACTGTTTTTTCTTTTAATGGATATTTTCATCCGCTATGTATGTTTATGGTATTTTTCGTAATGCGCATAAGTCCAATTTTCCAAATTTTTTAAATATATTTTTTGCGTTTTAAATATGTTTTTCGGGTCCCTAAGCGTATACCCAAACTCCTATACTCCCTGAAACGACACTCATTCCTAACTGCAAGACGCAAGAGTCTCGCAGGCTTAGTCTTGTTCTTACTCAAATCTTGCACGGTCAGTTTTGGTCTTGGTCTTGCTAAAATTAGGCGGTCTCGTTCTTGGTCTTGATCTTGCAAAAATGCAATAACAAGACCAAGACCGATTTTGGGCAACACTACCTGTGGGTGAATGTAACTGTGTGGATTTTGTATATATCAAAAAAAAGAATGTAGGATGGTCGACCGCAATAGAGTGACGGCCTGATAAATCATGCAGGTCGGTCGATAGATGTAGGTGACACAGATCCGTCCTTTGTGATATTCCTTGGAGGGTAATTTATTCAGCAGAGGACTTGTGAAGGGTTGTAATGATGATGAATATGATGAGTATCCAAAATCAAAATCTAATTATTATAAAATGAAGTACTCGTGTTTTTAATTATTTATCAATCATTTAATGATTCATAAAATATTTATAAATGTTTGTATGTATTCATCTTCTTTATCGTAAGCCTGTTAAAATTCACGTGGGCCTCTCAGCTTAGAATATCTATGAAACTACCGTATGTATGTGACAGGACGTTGATTTTACATGGACTCGCTGCGTTCGGAATCCCGAATCGGAAATCCGAAACGGAATCCTGAAATAGAAGTCCGTACGTATGAGGCGGTCCTCATGGACCAAATAATAATAATTAATGGTGCAAAGGCCCGTTTGTGCTTATGGCCGTCCACGATACGGTGCCGTGCCTGGGTGTCTCCCGTTAATGGACGCCCATATTATGGATGATGGAAAAAAAGATAGTGCGCAAAGGGCCGCTGCCTGGAGGTCACCAGGGCGCGTCTGGAGCTGGCGCTGGACGCGAGAGCATGCGGGCCGCCAGCCGAGCGCGGGGTGTTGCAAGACCACCTAGCAGCCCTCCGTATCCATCATCCCCACCAGAAGGCTTGGTGTCGGCTGGGTCTTCTCGGACTCAGCAAGCGGCACCCGCCGCTAGTGGAGCACGTCGCATGCGTTGGTCTAAATCAATGAATGAAAACGCACTGCGGGCGTATTTTAGTGCAAAAGGGGAAGAAACTGGATGTTTGGCGTATCGGGCTCAGATGCATCGCTTTTTTGCAGAGCTGGAGCCATCTCTATCCGTCACTGAGCAAAACCTGGCAGACCGAGTTAGGTACATCCTGCGCTCCGACATATTTGGTGACGCCGAACTCGAGCGACTACGACGTGAGGCTATTCCTTCATCGAATGGAAATGCTACAGCTGGAAATGCGGCGCCACTAGATGAGCAACAAACTGCATATGTGGATGCTGCCGTCAACATTCCATTTGTGGCTAATTCAGACGATGATGGAATAGTCTTCCACGAACTAGAGAAAATGAGGAGCATATTGGAAGAGTCGATGCTGGAAACGCGCAGCATGCCTCTCGAGAACCGACCGCGACTTCCCCCGCATACCCCTTAGCAAGCGAAATCGGGCTGTCGTGCGGGCTCTTAACCCAATGCTGGTGACCTATTTGGAAGCCAGCCGCGACCTTTGCGAGACGGATTCAATTCTTTTTGGCGCCGCACTGGCAGTATGCCGTATTATTGGCGCCAAACTTCCCGTGGCTGGACGTGCTACTCAAAAAAGTAGCGCCATCCCAGCCTGGAGAAAAAGAATTGAGGACCGTATCGCAAAGGCAAGGGCCCTTATCGGCGGACTGACAAGCTTCGTCAATAATAACCGGATTATGCGCTCCGTTAGGATGGCGTTTGCTGGGACAAATATCAGTTTGTTCCAACCGGATATCACGCAAAAACTAACGGAGCGCATAGATGACCTGAAGCAAAAAATCGCTGCTTGGGGGAAGCGGATTCGACGATTTAGCGAGAGGTCAAGAGGTCAAGCGAGTGATCAGAAGAGGCTCTATAAATCATTGGAGCGACCAGAGGTATGTGGAGCGGGCCCAGGACCGGATCAGGCCTGTGGTCAGAGCACGTAAACCACAGCGAGGGCCCTTGGATGGAAGTTGTGGCGAGCCAGAGTGCAAGTGTTACGCCTATGGACCCCGTCACCATAACGCCTGAAGACGTAGCTGAGGCGGTCCGTAGGGCCCCGAACTGGAAAAGTCCGGGGCTCGACGGGCTGCATCATTACTGGCTGAAGGGGTTCGTAGTTGCGTAGTCTCGCGACAGTTTCAAGAGGCTCTCGATCAGAAGTCGCTCCCGAGCCTCTTCACTACTGGGATCACTCATTTGGTTCCTAAAGATCAGGATACCACAGACCCGAGCAAATACCGCCCCATCACGTGTCTACCCACCATATATAAGACACTGACATCCATTTTGAGCGCGAGAATCACTCGTCACCTGGAGCTAAATCAGGTGATGTCACGCGCTCAAAATGGATGCCGGGGCGGTGGTCGTGGAACCAAGGAACCACTCCTCATTGACGCGGTCATTGGCAAAGTGGTGAAACGCAACCGTCGGAATTTCTCCGCCGCCTGGATAGACTACAGACAGGCATTCGACTCGGTGCCCCATACATGGCTAAAGAGTGTCCTCCAGCTGTACAAAATTGACTGTACAGTTGGAGACTTCCTCGAGCAGTGTATGGGGCAATGGAGTACGATCCTTTGCTATCTGGGCGAGCGGATGATGGCTGCGGAGAACCACATAAGGATAAGAAGGGGTATCTTCCAGGGCGATTGTCTGAGTCCAATCTGGTTTCGCCTCACCCTGAACCCTCTCAGTACGTTACTGGAGGGCTCCGGGAGGGGAAATTTCAGCTTCGGAAAGGAGGTACAAAAGTGACCCACCTTTTCCATATGGATGACCTCAAGTTATTCGCCTCCAGTCGCTCCCATCTTAAGGAATTGCTAAACATCACTTGTGAATTTAGCAGTTCTATTAGAATGGAGCTGGGAACGAATAAGTGTGCGGTCCTCCATGTTGAAAGGGGAAGGGTTGCTAACTCTGAGGGCATAGACTTATCTATGCCCGTCAACTTAAGGACCCTTTCCGAGGCTGAAACATACCGATACCTGGGTATGTCACAGAACATCGGTATCGATGAGGCTGGTATGAAACAGTCAGTTTGCGACGTGTTTTATGCACGCTTGACCAAAGTGCTTAACAGCCTTTTGTCCGGTGTGAATAAGACACACGCATATAACGGTTGGGTCATGCCTGTCCTCATGTATACCTTTGGCATACTCAGGTGGACCCAGACTGAACTTAACGCCCTGGATAGAGAAGTCCGCACTACTATGACGTCCCATAGGATGCATCATCCGAGATCGTCGGTAATGAGGCTGTACTTGCCGCGAAAGCATGGTGGGCGTGGTTTTCTGAGCGCGCTCACCATACATAATCGCGAAGTGTGCAGCCTCCGTGATTACTTCCTGGCGAGATCGGATGATCCATTCTATTGTGACGTGATTTCTAGTGATAAAGGGCTTACCCCTCTATCCTTAGCCAACGAGCAATGGCAGGACCCAGCAGTGCTTAGCATTTCCGACCGGGAGACCGTATGGAAGGAGAAGGAGCTCCACGGGAGGTTTTACAAGGCTCTACATGAGCCTTTCGTAGACACAGTAGCCTCCCTCCACTGGCTACGCTTTGGTGATCTCTTCGGGGAAACCGAGGGTTTTGTCTGTGCAATACAGGATCAGGTTATTAAGACCAACAACTATCGGAGATACATCCTAAAGGATGGCACCGTGGACATCTGTCGAGCTTGTCGCCATCCCGGTGAGTCACTTAGGCATGTCATCTCCGGTTGTTCGGCGCTTTCTAACTCTAAGTACTTGCACAGGCACAACCTAGTAGCCAGAATTCTTCACCAGGAGCTCGCTCTGAAATACGGTCTCGTTGATCGGAAATTGCCGTATTACAAGTACTTGCCGCAAGCCGTGCTCGAAAATGATCGCGCCAGGCTCTATTGGGACCGGGCCATCATCACAGACAGGACTATTCTTGCGAATAAGCCTGATATTGTGCTGATGGACCGGGCATAAGTCAAGGATATTTTTGGTCGACATTACCATGCCGTATGACGAGAACCTCGTGAAAGCCGAAACAGACAAGCAAACAAAATATCTGGACCTGGCTCACGAGGTGACCGACATGTGGGGTGGTCTGCCGACCGAAATTATTCCTGTAGTCGTCTCTGCAAACGGGCTAATCCCAGTCAGCCTCTCGGGTCATCTGAGGCGACTGGGACTACGTGGCGGACCGCTCCGGGCTCAAATGCAGAAGGCGGTGCTCCTCGATACCGCCCGCATCGTCCGCCGGTTTCTTTCCCTTTCCCCCCTAACCCTCGGCCGTTTGGTCTCCCCTGCCGAGGGCCTCCATCTGGTTGGGCTTTTATTTATTTATGTATTTTTATATTTATTTTATGTTATTGATATTTATGTATATTTATCTTTTCATTTTCATTTATAATTATATATTTATAGAACCCAACCAGATGAGAAAACTATATAGATACCCCAAAATTAATAATGCCTGGCCAATATGAATAATGTCCAATTTGAGTAAACGACGTGATAAATACTATTAAAATAATTAAATTTACCGAGATTTACGAATTAAGTCCGTTATTTATCGGGCAGAGTAATAAAAAGTTAGGTAGGTAATGTTTTTTTATATATAGGATAGGATAACAAACGAGCACACAGTCCACCTGATGGTAAGTGGTTGCTGTCGCCCATAGACGTCTACATCGATCCTCGATTACAAATCATAATGCAGATGCGTTGTCATCCGTGAGGACTTAGGTGGAATGCCTCATTTCCAGTAAAAATAGTTTCCAGTTCTCTACACTCACTATACGAAACACAGCAGCATTAAGCTACTATTTGACGCTGGTATTCTGTGAGAGCGTGGTCCTTTCCCGGTCGAGTCGACCCATTCGTGCTACAACTATACTACTAACTGCGGCATGGCTCTACCATTTTTTATGATGTCACATATTTAACCCTTAAAGACAATGGAAATAAGGTTTTTTTTGTAGCGCAAAGTAAAGAATACCTCATCGCTGCTATTTGGTAGTCCAAAGTGGATTTTTCCTTCCTTCACATTTTTACACTTGTTAATTTCAGGTTTCGTACATTGTTAACATATACTGGATGATTTTTTTAAAGTCTGGAAAAGCATAGGGTGTAACAGGTGAACGGAGTAGTAGTCTATGGCACTGATATTTTACAAAAAATTCACCAGTATAAGTAGGTAGATTAGGTTAAGTTATATCAAATTGCCAAACAGTTATACCAGCTACGTTCTATAATAGCAACGTTTATAATGTCCCCAAATGGTGATAAATAATGAAGTTGAAATCAGTATTAATTACGTTTCCCCCATACTAAGATTTTTTCGTGTGTCATGGAGGCAGTTTACATACATAAGTTGCACAAGGAAAACATCCAGACCTAGATCCATCCAGACAAGGCATCAGACAGTCAAACAAAGATAAACGGAGCGCTGCGCATATATGCTGAAACCATACTCAACTTCTTAAAACACTCACGAACACAATATCTTTCTTCTTTCTATAAATACGAGTACGTTATAAAAGTGCACTATTGAACGCACACATATGCACTTATCATCACACGTATGTATACGTCAGTGCGTATTCTTTACAGTAAGTTTAATACGTGGTAGAGCCACGTTGCAGCTATATTATGGTTGTAGCACGAATGGGTCGGCTCGACCGGGGAAAGACCACGCTCTCATAGAATACCAGCGTAAAATAACGACTTAATGTTGAGATGTTTCGTATATTAAGTGCAGACGGTAGAGAACCGGAAACAAAGCGTCTTGCAGCACTACATTTTAATTCTTAACAGAGGATAGAGTAGGTGTCTATGGGTCACAGATTCCACTTACTATCAGGTGGACCGTGTGCTCGTTTGTCACTTTTCTCTATATAGAGTAGTATAAAACAATGTCACTTCCCTAGTAGTCTAGTAGTCTGTAGTTTGGATCTTTTAAACTACGGATTCTGATGGGGTTTGCCTCAATAGACAGAATGATTCAAGAGTAAGATTAAAAAAAAAAAATATATATATATTATAGGATAAGGGTGACAAATGAGCACACAGTCTACCTGATGGTAAACGGATGCTGCGGCCCATAGACATCTACATCAATCCTCGAATACGAATCAAAATGCAGATGCGTTGTCACTAGTGAGGACTAAAACGGAATGCCTCTTTTCCAGTAAAAATTATCTCCAGTTTCTACACTCACCATACAGCAGCGTTAAGCTGCTATTTTACGCTGGTATTCTGTGAGAACGTGGTCCTTGTCCGGTCGAGCCGACCCATTCATGCGGCAACTATACTACTAATACAGCAGCATGGCTCTACAACGTAAAATTACAAATTTACAAAAAAAAAAATACAATATTATTATTAATCACTCCACACTGGCACCACATTAGAATCTACATTGCACCCGTGCAAAGCCGGGGTGGATCACAATACTAATTATATAAAAAAATGTTCGTTATGATTTTGCTTTTGTTTTTGCGTCCCTTTAAATGTAAGTAGCGCTACGTTTTTCTTTCTTTGTTAGTCTGAAATCACCTGCACAGTGATTTTTACAGTACCGCATAACCGTAACTGTTTGCTGGATGTCTAATAACGACGGTAAACCTGAGCAGTTTCAATACTTTAAAAATATTCCTAGTATTTAAAATAAATAATAATTTATATAGGAGAAAACAAAACAGGAATGTTTTGTTTTTAACCTGGATCATGCTTGGGTTACTAATGTATTTTTCATGCTCCTTTCGCCGTTTCTTCTCAGGACAGATAAACCTCATTTTGAAACGATTGTAGATTAAAAAATATTAGCGTTTGATCATCGGAATTATAATTTCGTAATCAAAAAATAAAGCGTTTTAATTTAATTTTCATCAATAAGCTGAAGTGGCAATGGACTATGCAGATCAAAGAACCGAAAGGATGGATATTCGTAAAAAGGTTCGAGAGTA